TTTGAGAGTTCTTTACATATTCTGGACACAAATCCTTGGTCAGAAACTTTCCAGGGGTCTGTGACTTATTTTTCATTTTTTGAACAGTGTCTTTCTTTTCTTTTTTTTTTTTCTTAATTTTTTTTTTAAAGATTTATTTACTTATTTTAGAGAGAGAGAGAGTGGGGGAGGGTCAGAGGGAGAAGCAGACTCCCTGCTGAGCACGGAGCCTGACGTGGGACTCAATCCCGGGACTCCAGGATCATGACCTGAGCTGAAGGCAGTCGCCTAACCAACTGAGCCACCCAGGCGCCCCAAACAGTGTCTTTCAAAGAGTAGAAATGGGGGCGCCTGGGTGGTCAGTCAGTTGAGCAACCGACTCTTGATCTCGGTTCAGGTCTTGATCTTAGGGTTGTGAGTTCAAGCCCTGTGTTGGGCTCCGTGCTTGGCGTGGAGACTGCTTAAAAGGAAAAAAAAAAAAAAGAGTAGAAATGGTCAAGCTTTGATAAAATCTAATTTAACAATTTATTCTCTTATCAATCATGTTTCTGGTGTCCTAGTTAAGAAACGTTTGTCGAACCTGAGTTCACAAACATTTTATCCTATATTTATTTCAAAAAGTTTTATAGTTTTAAAGATTTTATCTATTTGAGAGAGAGAGAGAATGAGAGGGAGAGAGCATGAGAGGGGGGAGGGTCAAAGGGAGAAGCAGACTCCCGGCCGAGTAGGGAGCCCAATGTGGGACTCAATCCAGGGACTCCAGGATCATGACCTGAGCCAAAGGCAGTCACTTAACCAACTGAGTCACCCAGGTGCCCCAAAAAGTTTTATAGTTTTAAAAGTTATGTTTAAGTCTATGATCCATTTTGAGTTATTTTTGTATGTGTTGTGCTATGGATCTAAGGTCTCTTTTCTTTCTTACTTTTTTTTTTTTTTTGCATGTGGATATCCAATTATTCCAGAACCATTTATTGAAAATTAGCTGTCCATACATGTGTGAGTCTATTTCTTGGCTCATTATTTTGTTCCATTGATCTACTTGTGTATCTTGATGTTAATAAACACACTGTCTTAATTATTGCAGCCTTGTCATAAATCTTGAAAAATCTTGGAATCAGGCAACGTAACTTCTCCAGCTTTGTTGCTCTGTATCAAATTGCATTGGCACCGATTTCAGAGTCGGCTTGTCGATTCCTACAGAAAGCCTGTTGGGATTTTGATCGAGACAGTATGAAATGTATGGGTCAGGGGGCACCTGGCCTGCTCTGTCAGTAGCACGTGGGACTCCTGGTCTCTGGGTCATGAGTTTGAGCCCCACGTAGGGTACAGAGATTGCTTAAAGTTAAAATCTTAAAAAAAAATCTATAGGTCATTTTGGGGAGAATTTACACTTTAACATTGAGTTTTCTAACCCACGAGCACAGCACATCTCCCTCCTCGCTCCTTTCATCCCATTCAGCAAAGGATGGTCTCAGCAGGGCCTTGCACACCTTTCATCACACTCATCCCTAACTCTCTCTTCTTGGAGGGGCACTGCTCTGACTGGTGTTGACTTGTTAACATCAGCGTCTGCCGTTCATTCCTTGTGCGTGATTCTGTGACTGTGCTCAGCACGCCGACCTCTCCTGCAGTCTTCCCACACTCACGGCTTACATCTAGCAGGTTTCTGTGGGTTCTGTCAGCTTCTGAGCAAGGGCTGACCATGTTGCCTGCGACCAGGGGTGGTTGGATTTCTTCTCGTCTGTACGCCTTTACCTCCGTTCTGTGACTTGCTGGCTAGAACTTCCAACGCGGTGCTGACTGGACGTGGCGGGACTGTGAGTCTCTGCCTCGTCCCTGGTTGCAGCTGGTGCGTCTGCCCTTCTGCCACTAGGGGCGACGGCAGCGGCATTTTGCAGGGACGTCTTTACCGGGTGGAGGAAGTCTCCCATCTCTGGCTGGCTGAGAGCTGGCCCCACAAATGGGTGTTAGGTTCTGTGCATCTGTGTTCAGCAGAAGCTGTTTTCTGCATCCAAAGAGATGATCCGTTTTGGCCATTAATCAGGTGAATTACAGAGACTGATTTTTTCAAGGTCGAACCAGCCTTGCATTCCTAGGATAAGCTCCATTTGGTCATGATGTGTTACCCTTTAAAATATGATTCTGCATGCTAAAATTCTGTGTTGATTTTTTGCATGTATGACCACGATGGATACTGGTAGCTTTCCTGTAACATCGGGTTTGGGTATCAAAGGAATGCTGGCCTCATAGAAGAGCTGTACATTACTCCCTTGCTGCGGAGTGAATTGTGTCCCCTGATATTCATGTGGGAGCCCTAATCCCCAAAGTGACCGTATCTGCAGATGGGGCCGATAAGGAGGTGTTAAAGGTAAAATGAGGTCCTAAAGGCGGGCCCCTCATCTGTTAGGGCCGGCGTCCTTACAAGAAGAGGAAGAGACACCAGGACTTGTGTGGTTGCTCTCTGCCATGTGAGGACAACAAAAAGGCAGCAGCCTATGAGCCAGGAGGATAGCTCTCCCCAGGAACTGAATTGGCAGGAACCTCGATCGTGGATTTCCCAGCTGTGAGAAAATAAATTTCAGTCTATAGTGTCGTGTTTTGGCAGCATGAGCAGACAAATACGTCCCCAGATATTTCATGCAAACTGAATCCTTTTGAACTGCGACTGGTTTCCCTGCCAGAATTCTGGGAGAGTTTGGATAGAATGGGTAACATTTTTCTCTTAAGTATCCAGCAGAATTTGCCATTCAGGTCTGAAGTTTTCTTTGTGGAAAGGTTTTAACTACAAACTCGTTTTCTTCCATACATGCAGGGTCACTCGGGCTGCGATTTCTTCTTGACTTTGTGTCTTGTGTGGAATTTTGTCATTTTACCTAGGTTGTCCAATTGTGTGGTGTAGAATCGTTCATAATATTCCCTTATTGGTCTTCTTTTTAAAAAAGATTATTTATTCATGAGAGACAGAGAGAGAGAGAGAGAGAGTAGCAGAGGGAGAAGCAGGCTTCCCGCTGAGCAGGGAGCCCGATGCGGGACTCGATCCCAGGACCCTGGGATCATGACCTGAGCCGAAGGCAGACGCTCAACCATCTGAGCCACCCAGGCACTCTCCCTTATTAGTCTTTTAACACGTGTAGAATCTCAGGGACGTCACCTCTGTGGTTTCTGATGTTGGTACTTTGTGTCTTTATTTCTCTTCCAGTTCGATCTGCTTGAAGGTTTATGTATTACTGGTCTTCTCAAAGAACTTGCTTCTGGTTTCATTAATTTTCTGTTGTTCTTCTGTATTTTATTCGGTTGATTTTCACTCTGGTGTGTGTACTATTTCCATTATTCTGCTTAGCTGGGTCTAGTTTGCCCTTATTTTGTTTTAGTTTCTGACGGTTAATCTGAGCGGTTTCTTCATTCCTGCCACGGGCCTTCAGGCCCACACCTGTCCGCTAACAGGTGCGGTGCTGCGCTGATTCAGCTCGAGATACCAATTTCTCTTTCCAGTTTTTCTTTAACCTGAGGATTCTTTATAACTGTTATCTGATTTCCAACATGTGAGGATATTCTAGAGACCTTTTTTGTTATTGATTCTAATCTTATTCAATTGTGGTCGGAGAAAATATTTTCTAGAAGTTGAATTTCTTTTTAACTTAAGGACGCTGGTTTTATGACCCAGAGTGCGTGCTACCTTGGTAAATGTTCCATGTGAATTTGGAAAGAATGTGTTATGCTGCTGTCGGGTGGAGTGTTCTAAGTCAATGCGGGCAGACGGGCTGGTTGTTATGGTCCGTCTGGTGCTCCCTCGGGACTTCCGGGCTCTGGGTTCTGCCAGTGCAGGAGAGAGGGCTTTTGAAATCTCCAGCTTCCATTGCAGATTTGTCAGTTTCTCTCTTCAGATCTATAACCTTTGTTTCCTGTGATTTGGAACCATCATGGGGCATGAAAGTTCAGGATTGTTACATCCTTTCAACCAGTCGACTCTTATGAAGTAACCCTTTCTATCCCAAGTGTATTTTTTGCTCTGAGATCTTTTTCACTGTTGGCACCCCATGCGGCATGTGCCGGAACGACAGCCCTTTCCACTGCTGAGTATTCCAGGCAGGAACGGACCGCATCTGTACATCCGTCCATTGGTGGACACCTCCTGGTCATTATGAGCAATGCCGTGTGTGAGCCCCGTGTGTAATTCTTTGGGGGTATATACCTAGGAGTGGAATTATTGGCTCATGGTAATTGTATGCTGAACTTTCTGAGGAATATGGAGGCGCCCCTGGTCTGTTTCTGTGTTCAGCACATCCTTTTAGAAGGCTACAGGTGGGCCTGATCCCCCCGGCCCCTGGATCTCTGGCTCATTCCCACCAGCTGGCTCAGAACTCCCACCGCCCCCTGCACCACTGGTGTCCACCTCACCCCTTGGCTCTCAGGGTTCAGATGCCCAGGGAACCTCCCTGCCCCTCTGACTTGCTCTGATCCACCTTTGCCTAAACCAGTGTGACGGTCAGTCTCTTGTTCAACTCGGCTAGTTATGCAAACAGTAGCGTAGGTGTTGCTGTGAAGGTATTTTGTTGATGAGATTCACACCTATGACCACCTGACTCCAGGTCAAGGTTACTCTCGATGGTGTGGGTAGGCCTCCTCAAGGGAGGAGAACAATCCCAAGGTTTCCCTGAGGAGTAAGGAATTCAGGCAGGAAGCAGTGCGGGGGACCCCACGCTTGCCCTGGCCGACCTGCTGAAGCGCCCGGCGGGATCCTGTCCTACCGGCTGCTTCTCTAGCAGAGCAGCCACCGCGGCCCTCCGGGAGCCAGGCGCTGTCCCCGGGCCTGAGCGCCGCGGGGAGCAGAGGGGCGCCCTCCCTGTCGGAGGAGGGAAGAAAGGGTGACTGGAGGCCAGAGCTCAGGTGGGGCTTAGCCGTGGGGCGGCGGGGGGGCCTCCCCCAGGTTGGCGGACACCTCCTGGTCCTTACGGGCAGCGCTGCTGGGAACACAGTCCAGACGTGGCTCTGGACACGGACAGTTACAGTAAACTCCAGAATGCAAGCAGCAATATGAATCATGTTTCTTGAAAAACGAATACAGACGAACACAGAACGGTGCCCGGGCGCCCTGGACTGCTCCCTTCCACAGGCCCCTGCATCATGGGGGCCCCAGGGCTGGGGCTCCCGCGCCGCCGGCCTTCACAGGGTGGACGAGGCCCTGGCGTCTCCCCAGCGACGCAATAAATAGGAGGATCGAATGGAGGACCGCGGCGCAGACCCACGCGGCGCGCCGGGCCCGCCCGGCCGACCCTTCACAGACCGGGGCGGGTCTCCGAGTCGGCGGCGGCGGCGGCGGCGCACAGGGCGCGGGGGCGGGGCTCCCACCGGCAGGACCCTCCCCCCCCCCGGGGCCGCGGGGGGCGCCTAGCCCTCCCGCACACTGACGCGCGGCTCGGCCAGGGAGCTGTGGATGATGCTGAGGATGGACTCCAGGCCGCTGCCCTCCAGCAGCGTGCGGTGGTCCCCCTCGATCACGTGTACCGACACCTTGCCGTCGCACACCTGGGACAGGTTGTAGTCGGCGCCCAGGCCCTCGCCGTACCCGCTGCCGGTCTTGGCGCGCAGCAGCGTCACGCTGCCGTGGTAGGTGGCCCGCGGCGTGTACTGCTCGGCCGCGCGCAGCTTGTGGTAGAAGGAGCGCGCGGCGAAGGTCAGCTGGCGGCGGTCCAGGCCCGCGTGGCTGCGCTCGATCAGGTCCACGGCGGCCGCCACGCGCTCCCCCAGGTCCCCGAGGGGCAGCAGCGCCTCCAGCACCTGCGGGCCGGGGTGCAGGACGGGGCTCTGAGCGGCGCGTGCCCGGCGCAACGCCCCGCGGGGTCTGCACCCGGCTGCGCGCGCGCGCGCTCCGCTCGGGGCTGCGGGCGCCCCCCGGCCCCACCTTGTCGTGTTCCACGTCGATGAACTGCTGCATGAAGAAGCACATGGCCTCGGCCTCGGCCTCCGCCTCGCAGCCCGGGGTCATCTTGGCGCGGTAGCTCTGTGGGGGGAGAAGGGGCTGCTGCAGCCGGGCCCTGGGCCGCGACCCTGGGGCTGCGGCTGGGAGCCCACCGACGCCCCCGCGGCGGCCCTCACCTGCGTGTGGGCCAGCACGTAGGAGTGTGAGCCGTCAAACAAGAAGAGGCTGTGGTGTGAGGGGGCCGGGCTCTGCTGCGCAGCCTGCAGCTGGGAGCACATCTCGAAGGCCACACAGGCCCCGAACGAGTAGCCGGCGATGCGGTAGGGCCCCTCGGGCTGCACCTGCCGGATGCACTCCACGTAGTAGGCGGCCAGACTCTGGATGCTGTCCAGGGGTGCAGCTGTGGGGCAGAAGGAGGCTCAGCGGCAGGCAGGAGGGGACCCTGGGTGGGACACGCACACGACCCTGCCTTATTGGGGGGTGGGGACCGCCTCGCAGGACGGGTCACACCTTGGGTACACTGCAAGCCGTAGGTGGGGATGCTGAGCTTGGAGGCCAGGCCGTGGAACACGATGGTGGAGCCTTCGATGGGGTGCACCAGGAACAGGGGTCGCTCAGAGCTCTGCACCAAGTTGAGCCGTGTCAAGGTCGGGCCCTCGGGGTTCACCAGCAGGGTGCTCAGGTTCAGCTGGGCCTGCTGACCGGTTCTGCTGCTGTCCTTGGCCGTGGGGGCGGCCAGCTCTGTAAGGAGGGGGCAGATGCCGGAGGGCCAGGGCCACACAAGATGCCCCACGCACAAACACGACGACGGGCACGGGCGCACACACCCACCCCTGACGCGGGCTGCTGGTGGCCAGGGCGGGAAATGGGTGGGGGCCCAAGGCCCCACTCAGGGCTCACAGGAAGGGTCCCGATGGACAAGCCCTGAGCTGGGGGGGTGGGGGGGCCGCTTAGGCTGCTCGCAAGCCTGCTGCTCTGGGGACGGAGGAAGAGCTGGGGCCAAGGTGGCCCAGGGACCTTCCCCTTTCTCCAACTTCCCTCACAGCCACGCACCGTTAGCCGTGCCCGCCTTCGAGGAAAACTCCTGCAACTTGCGGAACGTGAGCTGCCCGATGTCCCGCGTGGACAGCAGCAGGTCATACCCGCGCTCCAGTATCTGGCGCACCTCCACGCCCATGAGCGAGTCCAGGCCCAGGTCTGTCAGCGTGCTGTCCAGGTTGATGGTGGCCAAGTCTCGAATACCTGGGGACAGGTACTCCGTTGGCAATTTGGGAGGGAGGTGGGGCGGGGCCCTGGGTAAGCGCGGACACCTTGGCGGCTAGTTCCCTTCCCAAACCACCATCACCGTGGTTATGGCATGTGACCGCCCCCGCCCCCCTCAGTTCTGAGCCGACCACTGGAGCCTGTCCCCTCCCAGAGCAAAAGACCACGGCCTCTTCCTGCCAGGGAAACGGCAGTTAGCGGGAGCTGAGGGTCTACAGTGCGGGGACGGCGGGCTCCCTCACCCAGGACGTGGGCCACCGCCTTCATGAGGTCCAGCTGGGCACTGCCATCACCCTGGGCGCTGGTCTTCTTCTCAGCCAGCACAAAGCTGCTCAAGACGGCGTGGGGCTGGTTCAGAAAGGAGTCCAGCACCTCCAAGCAGGAGGTGATACGCTGAGGCAGCGTCCCACCAATGACCATGTCGTTGGAGCCCATTGTCTCCAGGATGATGCCCACATCTCCGATGGCGCCCCACTGCACCGCGAGGCCTACAGGAATACAGGGCCAGCGAGCCGGGGGTGAGCGGGGGCGCGCAGCGGGGCGGCGGCAAGCGGGGGCTGCCGGGCGAGGAGCGGGCTGGCCCACCTGGCAGGCCGTCGTGCCGGCGCTTCTCACATACACGCTCCATCGAGGAGTTGGCGAAGCCGTAGTTGGTCTGGCCGGCGTTGCCGCGCCCGCAGCTCACGGAGGAGAAGACCACAAAGTAGTCCAGCTCGGGGCACACCGCCCGGGTCACCCTGTGGGTGCTCGAGTCACACCCTGCTGGCTGGCCCAGTCCCCGCCCCCACCCCGGCCAGCGTGCCCAGCAGCCTCCACTTCCCTGAACCCCCAGCTCAGGCCCCAGCAGAGGCCTGCTGCTCAGTACCTGAGTGGCAGCAGGAACTCTGCGCCAGGGTACACACAGGTCAAGAGAGGCGGCTGCTCCCAGCGTGCACCAGGTCAGAGCCAGGCTGTGTTGGGGGATGGGGACAGGGTTGGGGGATCGTACACCTCACCTGTCCAAGTTCACGGTACCGTCGTACTTGGGCTTGTTAACATCCTGGAAGAACTCAGGGCTTTGATTCTCCAGCATGGCATCTCTCAGGACCTGAGGGTGAGGGGTTCTCAGCACCTGCCCTGACCTCACAGCTCTGGAGGGCTCAGCCTGGGAGGGTGCTTCCCTAGGGGGCCTGCTCTGGACCCTTCAGAGTTGCACTCACCATGGCCAGGTTGAAGACGCCACCCACAGGCCCCAGCTGTGTGGCCTCTGCCACGAGGCTCCGGGCCCCATCTGGCGAGCTGGCGTCGCTGGTGGACACCAGGACCTGCACGCCCTGGCGCCTCCACTCATGGACTTGCTTGGCCTGGTAGCCTACGGGACACAGGGCAGCGTGGTTGGGCCAACCGGGCTTCTGGACCAGAGAGCTCACGAGCGCTGAGGCGACCACCCCCCACCCCGTCCTGGCCCTCGGGACTGCTCACCTGTGCGGATCCCAGAGCGAGAGGTCAGCACGAGTTTCTGGGCCCCTCGCAGCACAAGCCACTGGGCCAGCTCGAGGCCGAACCCGCCTAGGCCCCCAGTGATGACATAGCTCTTGTGGGCTGGGCAGAAGATCTTGGACACAGCTGTCATCCGCGTGGGCCTGGTCACCTGTGGCACCATCTCCCGCTCCTCCTCGAGCACCTGCAGCCCAAGCAGCACCCCCAGCTCAGGCACTGCCCTGGGGAGCTGGAGCCGGGGGCGCCGGGGGCCCCACGCTCACCTGCACGACCACTTTGCCGATGTGCTTCCCTTGGGCCATGAAACGGAACGCGTCCTCCACGCGGTGCTTGGGGAACGTGGTGCACTTGAGGGGCCGCACCACGCCGTCCCGGATGCCCGCCCGCAGCAGCGCCGCCACCTCCCGCCAGTCGCTGCCCCCGTCATCCATGAGCGCGTCCAGCAGGATCCCGTGGAAGGTCACGTTCTTCAGGAAGATGGCCATGCCTGGGGGGGCGGGGGGAGGGCTCAGCACTCACGGCCCCCAGCTGACCCTGCGGGCCTCACCCGCCCGCCTGCTGCCCGCCTCACCCAGCTGGTGGTTGTTGGAAAGGTCAAATTTGCCGATCTCCAGGAACCGGCCGTGCTGGGCCAGGCAGCGCACACTGGCCTGCAGCTTCTCCTCCGCCAGAGAGTTCAGAACCAGGTCGACACCTTGGGGGGGGGTCGGGGAAAGAGAGGTCCTCTCCGTCATGACACTGGCCCCGGCCCAGACCTTGTCCCCGCCTGGGCCCGAGGAGGACGGCGGCAGCGCAGGTGGACAGCGACTGGTGGGCGTGCCAGGGCCGCCGCCGGGGCCCGCGAACTGCGCTCACCCTTCCCGCCTGTGTGCCACAGCACGTGTTGTTCGAAGGACGTGTCCCGGGAGTTGGCAAAGCTGGTGTCGCCGAGCTGAGGGAACCTGGCCTGGAGGTACGTCCGCTTCTCGGCGGACCCTGGTAGGGAGAGGCGCATGCTGCTGAGCCAGGCCGCGGGGCAGGGGCGGGGGCAGCGCCGGGCTCGCGGGAGGGCTGGTGGACTGACCCACGGTGGTGAAGACGCGGCAGCCCAGGCTCAGGGCGATGGCGATGGCGGCCTGGCCCACGCCGCCCGAGCCCGAGTGGATGAGCACCGTCTCCCCGCGCTGCATGCGCCCCCGCACCACCAGCGAGTAGTAGGCGGTAGAGTATACCACGGGCACGGAAGCTGCCTCCTCCAGGGTCCTGCGGGCACAGCACATGAGGTCAGCTCGGGCCTGAGCCTCGGCCGTGGCCGCGTGGGGCGCCGGGCTCACGGTCCCGCCGACTCACCAGTTAGACGGAACCTCCCACAGGAAGTCCTCAGACAGCAGGACGGAAGTGGCCAGGCCCTCAGCGGGCACCAGCCCCATCACACGCTTGCCACTGGCGTCCCGGCCAGAGAACTCCATGCCCAGCATACAGTCCCGGGAGGCCCATTTCCCTGGGGGTAGACGGTGGCGGTGAGCCCTATGTCTCCCCGGGTGGGGGATGGGGGCGCCCGGTGCGCAAGTTCAGGCCTGAGGAGCCTCCAGGGTCCTGAGGGCTGTGGGTCAAGGAGCCCTCCTCTTCCCAGTCCCTGGCCTGGAGCGTTTGCTCTGGCCACACCCGCAGGATGCAGTCCATACCTGGGATGGCATCAGGGGAGAGCTTGCCCGTGGCCAGCATGATGTCTCGGAAGTTGAGGGAGGCGTAGCTGACGGTGCAGAGGTGGATGCCGGGGTCAGTGGGCTGGGCGTGACGCAGAGGGGAGCAGACCCAGCGGATGGAGGAGAGGTCCCCCCGGGTGAGGACATTCACGAAGGCGTGCTCGGTCTGCTCCTCTGGCAGGCCTGAAGGCGACAGGAAGTGCGGCTCCCACAGGGGCTTCCTAGCCAGGGCCCCCCAGCCCCCTGTCACCCTCAGACCACCCGGCTATAACGCAAGGAGCTGGTGGGGGCCAGGGAGGCATCTTGGGGGGGCTCACCATGCTCCAGGGGGAAATGGCGGAAGGCCCCCCAGGACCCGTCCCGGTAGACGTTCATCACGAGGTCCCCCTGTAACACCTTCTGCAACTCTGAGGAGCTTGCGTCCATCTTGGGGATGGGGGAGGTGCTGCTGAGGTTGGACACCAGGATGCATCTGTGGGCAGACACACAGGTGAGGGGAGGCTGGAGGAGGGGGAGAGAGAGAGGGCAGGGCAGGGGCGGAGGGAGAGGGGGCCTGCAGCTCTGTGGCTGTCTCTCACCGAATCCGGTGCCCGCCAGGCTCTCGGCGGAGACAGTTCACCATGCCCACGACACCCGAGGTGGTGCAGCTGAAGGCCGTCAGCCACACGGGGCGGGAGGAGTCGCTGGCCAGAACGTTCTGCGGGACGAGGGAAGGGCTGGCGTCTGGGTGGGTCCCCAGGCCCGTGGGCACGGTGCTGGGGGGCCCGGCAGAGACTGACCTTCAGGGAGTCCACCCATCGGAAGCTGGTGTCCTCCACAGGCAGGAAGACGGGGCCGTCCTGCGGGGCCGGCCGGCGGCGGCACAGGAAGAGCGCGGAGCCGTAGAAGGACCTCTTCAGGGCCACCAGGTGCAGGGACGCCCCGGCAAACAGACCCTCCCACTCGTCCTGCGTGGGCGGGGCGGGGTCAGTGCTCAGCCAGCCTCCCTGCGGCAGCCCCGGCCCCACCCCCGCCCCTTCACCTGGCTCAGGAGGCTCTGCCCGCCTCGCTGGGGCTCCGGGCAGGTGAGGAAGGCAACCGTCTCTCCCAGCGGGTGTCCTCTGAGCAGCGTGTGCAGCAGCAGGAAGCCGCCCTCCTGGAGAGCGGCTACCATGTTGCCGAGGGCCGTGGCTGGGTCCCGGAGGGTGGCCACCGCACAGTTGCATGCCAGCAGGTCAGCCATGCCCAGGCTGCTGGGGGCAGGGTCTGCAGGGTCCCACTGGCCCTGGGTCGTGCCATACTCCTGCAGCTTGGCCTGGACAGCCTCCAGGGCCTGGGGGTGGCGGTCCGTGGCCGTGTAGTCCAGCTGGAGCAGGGGCTGGGTGTTGAGCAGCGCCGGAATGCGGGAATACAGGCGGCCATCGCCAGCCAGCACCTGCCGGTGGGGAGAGCTTCCTGGACCAGCTGCCCACCGGGCAGGCACCCCGATCCGAGCTGGCGGACATCTGCCAGAAAGGCCCACCCACCCACACTGCTGAGACCACCAGCTAGTGTCCTCCCCCAGAGCCCACCTTCAAGCAGGGCGGAACAGTCAAGGACACGAGGGCAGCCTCGGCACACCTTCTGACGGGCCCTGGCATTCCCCACGGCTGAGCCTGCCTGGAGCTGGGTCCACGCACCCACCTCTACAATGTGCATCCTGGGGCTGCTCAGGTTCTCCAGGGCGGTGTCCACGCAGGCCTTGAGTGCCGGGGAATCGAGAAGGCCGTGGAGCAGGGGGTCGTCATGCAGCAGGGGCTTCTGCTGGGCCAGTAGCTGGTCCAGCTCCAGCTGCAGGCTCCCATTGAGCTGGAGTTGGCAGGCAGCCCCCAGCAACTGAGGCAGGCCCTGCTGTGGGGGCTCCCGGGGCACCTGGGCCCCATCCAGCCCAGGGACCACCATCTTTAGCCCCTGCTGGGCCACCTTGGTCTGCAGTGCTTGTGCCAGCCCTGGGGAGGGGGGAGATGGGCACTAAGGCGAGGTCTCACTCGGGCCAGTGTTCCCGAAGCACCCCCACACAGCAGGGGTCTGCTTAGAGCAGGCATCCATCAGTAGCCAGGACCCAGGTGACCCTGTCCTCCCAGGGCCCACTGCCTGGACCTGCCCCTAGATAAGCAAACAGATGGGAGGGACGAAGTGGGCAGCCTGATCTTCTAGAACTAGGAACTAGCCCCCTGGGTGGGTGTCGTCGAGGCGTGAGCTCCACAGAGGGTAGGCTCCCTACGGAGCGTGGGCTCAGTGCCCTCACATCCCCCACGGCGCTCCAGCCCCCTGCCCGTTATCCCCCACCCATCAGTGTGGGCACGAGCCCTCACAGGGCCTGCCGGGCCAGGTCCCCGTGGCGTCACACCCAAGTGGCTGGCTGGGGACACAGGCAGGAAGGACCGAGTCTGTCCTTGTGCCCTAAACTATCCCTGAAGACCAGGAGCCTCTCGAGGAGGCAAGTTTCGGCTCCTGTGAAGCAGGAGGTTGTCAAGCTGGAACGGGTCCCAGCGAAGGGCTGTGTGGGAAGCTGAGAAACTCCCTTTTGCCAGAGGCACCCGACGGAGGCTGGAGCACAGGGCAGGGGCTGGACCTCACCCTTGCACAGCTGCAGCTCGTCCTGTAGGGCTGCGTTTCCAGCCAGGAGCCCCACCTCCACGTAGGGAGTGAAGCAGAACTTCTCCAGGATCGGGGCGAACTGCTCCTGCTGCCTTCTCGGAACCATGGAGGTGTGTAGGCCCGAGATGAGGGTTCCGCCGGCCACCATGTGGTTCAGACAGCTGCTCACCACCACATCAGCCACTGCGGGAAGGAGCCGGTGAGCATGGGCCGCGGCCGGCCCGGCGGCGCAGGTGGGGGGGGCCTGGGACTCGGGGCTACCTTGGGCCTGGCCCTTGAGCGAGTACACCTTCTGCCGGTGAGTGGCGGGGTCGACGTGGATGGAGGTGATGCGGGTGGGCAGGCGCAGGGAGCGCTGGGCCATACTCAGCACGGACATCTGCAGCACGGCATCCAGGAAGGTTACCCAGTTGTCCTTCCATAGCAGCTGGCCTGTGTAGCCTGTGACGGAGGGACTGTCGGCGTGGCCGGGCCGGGTCTCTCACGCTCACGGCACCCTGCCCTCCACACACCCCTCACACCCAGCACAGCCCTCTGTCCACAGGACTCGGGCGGTGACGGAGTCACGTGGCACCGGGATCCTGGGCAGCAGGTCAGGCCCCGTGTGGCCTGAAGGGAGGCGGCCCCAAGGCTCGTGCCCTGAGCGTCAAGGGAGGATGTGGCGCCCTACCTCCCAGGTTGGCCTCCAGAATGCCCTGGAAGTCGGGGCCATAGTCGTAGCCACACAGCCGCAGCTCCTTGTATACGTCCCCCTGGGACAGGTGGAATGCGGCCGTGGGGTCCGGGCCCTCCTGGCTGTCGAAGAGCTTGGGGTCAGGCTCCTCCCACTGGTACACCTTCCCTATGGGGGGGCAGAAGAGCCTGAGGTGCGTAGAGTGGAGCTGGCCACCAAGGGTCCACTCAGAGGCCAACCCCCACCAGAGAGCCCGGGGCCTGGCCGGACGCCCTCTGCTCACCGCTCACGATCAGGTTGCCGTTCTCAGACACCTCAAAGGTGCGGGAAGCCTCCAGAAGCCGCACTTCCAGAGCCACAGTCCCTGTGCACAGCAAGGTTGGAGATGAGCAGCTGGGGTCAGCCGTCAGCATTCCCGCCCTGACCCCGGCGGCCACCCCATCTCACCGGTCTTGGGCAAGATGGTGGCCTGGTGCAGTGTCACATCCTCAAACACCACGGGCATCTCTTCCATGTTCTGGCTCAAGACACGTGCCAGAGTCTTCCAGACCAGGCACACGTAGCCGGTGGCAGGGAAGAGGACGCGGCCATCGATGCGGTGGTCCACCAGGTAGTGGTCGGGGGACTCGGGGCTGGTGTCTGTGTGGGCTGGACCTTAGTGCCAGCACCCAGGAGGGAGAAGGCACCCTCGCCCCGTCCCTCAACTGCCCTCAGCCCCCACTCACCAATGTTGTAGATGGTGGCAGCAGACGAACCGCTGGAGCCGCTGGGGAAGTCCCCGGCGGCAGGCACGTCCCAGATCTGACTGTGGTCCCACTTGATGTGGGGGGAGATGAGAGGAGTCCCCCGGGGAACCGGGAACTCCATGGGTGGAAACAGGCCATTGGGGTTGGCATCAATGCTGGGGGGTGGGGGAAAGGTGTGAGGCGCACGCCTGGGCTGGCGGCCTTGCCTGGGACTACCCCGTCATACCCTCGGCCAACCGTCTCCCACGAGACCCCAGAGATCACCAAGACGGGGTGGGGTGGGGGCCATAGCAAGGAAGCTCGAGGTGGCCCAGCACCCACCAGCCCACTTCTGGAGGACAACCTCAAGGCCACCGAGCAGCCCTATTACCACGCTTTGCTGTCGGGGAGAAGCTCCGGGTGGACCGCCCCCTCCCCCCCACTGGGAACCCGGCCCCCTCCCCGGCGGCCCAGCAGGGGCAGCCGACCCACCCCAGCAGGTGCAGCCTGCCCACGTTCCTGAGGAAGAACTCCAGGTTGTCTCTCTGGTCCTTCTTCATCAGAGGGATGATGGCGCAACTGGGCTTGACGCCTCTCTTCAGGACGCCCTGGTGAGGCAGACGGGCTTGGCCTTCCTCACTGGTTCCCACCTGCCCGCAGGCCCAGACCCTCGGCTTCTCTCGGCCGACGCACCAAGACCACCGTCCCTCCTGGAACCGGCCGGCCTTCCCCGCCCCTGGCCCCAGCTGGTGCGCACCTGCAGCAGGGCGTGGGGGGCGATCTCCAGCACCACGGCGTGCTCAGGCACGTGACGCAGCGCCTCCTGGAACAGCACCGGGCTCACGAGGTTGTTGACGCTGTACTCCGCCGAGGATGTGCGGGCCAGGCTCCCTTGCCACTGGGCCTCGGGGATGGAGGTGCTGAGCCAGCGCGCCGAGCGGGGCCTTGGCTCCCGGATCACCTGCGCCCGTGACACCGTCAGCCGTGCCGGGCCTCCGCCCCCACCGCCCTGCCTCCAGGAGGCCCTGCCTCCAGGGAGCCCCCGTAGGGCGGCCAGCCCACCTTCTTGAGTGCCTGCAGCAGCGTGGGGGCGATGGACTCCATGAAGTAGGAGTGAAAGGCCATGCCGCCTGTTTGCACCTCCTTGGCAAACACGCCCTCCTGCCTCAGCTGCTCCATAAATGTGACCACCTGGGCCTAAGGACAGAGGTGTCAAGGGCTGGACGAGTGCGACCGGTTCCCCACGCAGAGCTCCCCCCGAGGGACGGGGAAGGGACTTGGGGATGCGCCTCGCCTCCCAGGGCCCACCTGAGGTCCTGAGATGGTCACTGTGTCTTCGGAGTTGTGGCAGGCGGGCACAATGCCAGGGGGACAGCGTTGTTTACACTCCTCCCAGGACAAGCCTGTGGGCAGGGATGGCCTCAGGGGGCGGGCTGCGGGGAGCCGGGGCCCCCACCCGAGAGGAAGCGCTGCCCGGGACAGGCCCTAATGACAGGGGTGCAGTAATGACAGCCGCGGAGCGGGGCCTTTACGGGGCACTTTCGCTCCTGCCGCGTTTGATCTCGAGGGAGGACACCTTCTCTGTTGTCCCACAGGTGGGGAGCGAGGTCCTGGGCCCCCGACAGGCCTCCACGGGCCTCGGCCTCTCCCCTGCAGCCCCTCAGGATGGTGGCTCTGTGAGGTGTCCCTCCTGTTCCCAGCCCAGCCTGCCTGAGGCACGAGAAGGTGCCCACGGAAGGGGACCACAGCGAGTCACCCTGACACTGACTTTATCAAAAGCTCCCTGGCTTCTTGCGTGGGCAGGGGGCACTCTTGTCCCCACGTGGCTTCAGCCCAGCCTGTGGTGACGTGGCCGCGCATTTACTGCCGGCCGCAGGGTGCTGGGGTGGGTCGCAGCATCTGCCCCGTGTGAACAGGAGGAAGGCCAGGGACGCCCCTGAGGCTGGTGGGGGGAGCAGGACGGGGGAGCACAGAGGACACCCACCCACGGCCGCCATGGCCCCCGGTGGGATGCTGGCCTCCTTGATGCATTGGCCTCTCCAATAGGCCGTGAGGATGGCCTCCTCCTGGGAAAGGCAGCCGTCTGCGTAGCCACAGGCCACCTCCCCCAGGGAGTGTCCGATGATGCCATCGGGCCGTAGGCCCATGGAGGTCAGCAGGTCTATGAGGGCGATCTGGTGGGGGAGAGGGGCATGAGGAGTCACGCCCGCCCGGCCACCAGCCCCGCCCGGCCACCAGCCCCGTCCTGCCCACGGGCCCCCAGAGCCCAAGGACGCACCTGGATGGCGGTGAGGCTCACGAAGGAGTGGACGAGGTCGTCGAAGCAGGCCTCGTCTGTGCTCAGGAGCAGCTCAGACACCTGCAGGCCCAAGGGCTTCACGGCCTCGTCGGAGCGCAGGATGGAGTCTCGGAAGCTGTGCAGGCGCAGGAGGCTCGACCCCATCCCATGCCACTGCGCACCCATCCCTGTCCCGAGGAGAGCTGTCAGGGGTGGTGGCCGCGGGGCCAGCCTCCCGCTCACCCTCCCGGGAGGACCCGCACGGCCGGCCTCTCACCAGAGCAGATGAACCAGAGTGGACGCTGGCCAGCAGGCGGCTGCTGGGCCTCCTGCACCTCCGGGCCGCCTTCCTCACCGCCCAGCACCGCGTAGCCCCGGAAGGGCATGGCGGTGGGGGGGATGGCCGCGATGTCATTGAGCATGCTCACGAAGGCCAGGTCCTGGCCGTGCTGCTGGCCCTGCTGCAGAAGGCAGTGCACGGCCTCCAGGGTGCGCCCGCTGGCCCGCAGCAGGCGGGGCAGGGTGGCGCGCGGGGCGGCCGGCGAGGGGCGCCGCGGGTCGGGCCTGAGGATGACGTGCACGTTGGAACCGCCGAAGCCGAAGGAGTTGACGGCCACGTTGCCTCCGCGGACGGGCAGGGGCCGGTCCACCACCTGCAGCCGCCCCTCCCGGAGCGCGGGGACCTCAGCGTTCGGGCTGCGGAAGTGCAGGTTGGGGGCCCAGAGCCCGTGTTCCAGGGACAGCAGCACCTACGGGGGGCTCGCGGTTGGTGGGGCAGCTGGCCTCGCACTCCCTGCACCGCTGCCTGGGGTCGGGCCCACGCGACACAGTGCAGGGACCCAGGGGCCCTTGCCGTCTCTGGGCCCCCTGCCTTCACCTGGGGCCCCAGGGCGCCCCCCAGACGGACGGGCTGTGGGCCTGGACACAGAGGCCCCCTCAGCCAGAGCTCCTCCCAGGTCCCAGTTCTTGCAGGAACGGTAAGAGGTTACAACGTCACAGCCCCAAGGAGCCTAGAGCACCAGGGAGCCCCCGCCGCACCCAGAAGCTACCAGTGCGTGGTCTCCCCACAGGCCACCCAGCCCCCCCGGCCGGTCAGGAAGACTGTGGGACAGGTGGGCAGCCCCTGCGCCCTCCTCTGGCCCACAGGGAGCAAGGGCAGAGACTGGTCACAGGCTTGTGCCCTGCTGTCCGGGCCCCAGTGGCTGGCACCCCTCGGCCCAGTCTGTGGGAACCCCCCCTTGCGTGGCCGGCAGGACAGCTCTGGACCCGCGCACCTACCTTGGCCATGGCTGCAAGCCCCGAGGCGGGCTCCGGGTGCCCCATGTTCGACTTTGTGGACCCGATCAGCAAGGGGTCCCGGCGGGTGGTGCAAAGGGCTCGGTCGATGCCGTTCAGCTCCTGGGGGTCGCCCACCTGTGGAGGACAAGAGGAGGATCAGGATCCCGCCCAGGTGCCTCTCAGGCCTGGAGTGTGGGGCGTGGGCGGGGCACTCACCATGGTCCCCGTGCCGTGGGCTTCGATATACTCCAGAGACTCTGGGGCCAGCCCAGCCGGCTCGTACAGGGAGCGGATGAGCTGCTCCTGGGCCTCCCCGGAGGGGAAGGTCACACCTGTGGGACGAGCCAGGCCTCAGCCCCCAACCAAGGACCACCTGCCGCGGCCAGGCCCGGACCCCTCCAGCCCCCGGCCGGCACCCACCTTGCTCCTTGTAGCCGTCGGTGTTGGTGCCGGCGTTCAGGATGGTGGCATACACGCGCCGGGCCAGGGACCTCTTGGTCAGCAGGATGACCACCACGGCCTCCGAGCGACAGTAACCGTTCCCTGCGTGCGGAGGGCACCTCAGGCCCAGGGGCTCTGCTGCTCCAGGCCCCTGGGCCAAGAGCTCTGGGGCCACCCCTGCCCCTCCCGCCCACCGCTCACTCACCAGACTCGTCGAATGACTTGCAGGTACCCTCAGGACTGAGCATGCCCAGCTTCATGAACTGCACGGAGGTGTTGGGCTTCAGCAGGATGTTGATGCCCCCCACGATGGCGCTGGGGCACTCCCCGCTGCGCACGGCCTCGTAGGCGTTCTGCAGAGCCATCAGGCTAGAGGAGCAGGCTGTGTCCAGGGCGATGCTGGGCCCTGTGGGCAAGAGCACAATGGGGGGCCCGGCGGCTCCAGCAGGGTGCCCTCCACTGGGAGCCCATGGCATGGACGCCTTGCCCTGGCCAGCCTTCCTGGGGGAACCAGAGGCCCAGCGGGGCTGGGTGGGTACCCACCTTTAAAATCAAAGAAGAACGAGAGACGGTTGGCCATCATGGCGCGCTGGCAGCCCACCATGCTGTAGCCCAAGAGGGTCTCAGGGTCTCGGCTGAGGGCCTCTGAGGCCTCGGAGCCGCTCACGCCCACCCAGACACCGGTGTGTGTCCCTCGGAGTGACGCTGGGTTGATGCCTGCGGGAAGCAACGGTAAGACATGGCAGCTGGGCCTGCTGCCCAGCTCTGGGGCTAAGTCCTCCCTCTTAGCCTGGCTCTGGAGGGGTCCGAGCAGGGCAACCAACCCAGGTAGGGCTGAGGACAGATAACTGGGTCACAAGGAACCCAGGGCCCAGGAGACAGGTGGGGCTCCAGGCTCTGGGCCAGGCAGAGGCCAGAGAAAGCTGGAGGTAAGGACAGAAGGCTGCATTGTCCCCAGGATACTCCCCTGGCCCCTGGTGTCACCAGTAGGGTCTGGCAAGCCCCAGTGACCAATGAGCACCCAAGCACCAAGGGCGGCTTACCCTAGGACAGGCTAAGATAAGGAAACACAGGGAGACAAAGGCTGAGTGTCCAGGCTGGGAAAGGAGGGAGGGACCCTGGCCAGCCTCTGGAGAGCGGCGTCCAAGGTCTCTACCGGCCCTTCCCTCCAGAGCACTGTGTCCCGTGCGGGTCCCAGGCCTGGCTCGCTGAGCAGCAAGCAAGCTAGAAGGCCAGGCTGCCTGCCCGCCTGCCTGTGGTACAACTGGCCGGCTCCCAGGCTCCCCCTCAGGCCCGGGCTCCCCCACCCACCTGCGGAGGCGCCACGCCCACGTGGCCGGCCTCCTCTCCCACCAGGCAAGACGTTTAGGCCCCTGGGCGGTAGAGACAGGTCTGTGCCCCGTGACAAGGGACAGCTGTCTTGAGGCACTTGTACAAGACCAGACACAGCCCAGAGGAGGGGAGAGTGGAGAGCACGAGACCTGGGGGCCAGACCCCACCTCCTGCTCTGCCTGGCACTCCACCCTTGCCCCAAGACCAGCTGTACTTTGGGGAGGGAGGGAATTGGGGCACCAGGGCATGCCAGGGACACCGTGTGTGTAGTTGTGAAACCTCAACCTGCTCCCAGGCCCACGCCTCCCACACCTCCCCAAGCCCATGGACCCTACACCAGGGCCCAGGAGAGTCACAGCGCCTTGCGCTGCCTCCTTGGTAATTTTTGTGTTTTCAGACTTCTGCTTTTAAAAGTGAGAAGAAGCAATGCTGTTATAATTTCTGGGGAGGTGGGAACCTCAGGGACGGGCCCCTAGCCCTGAGGTGGCCATCGTTGGCCAGCAGCCTCATGAGGACCCACCTCCGTCCAAGATGGCCTCGTAGGTGACCTCCAGCAGCAAGCGCAGCTGGGGGTCCATAGTGTGAGCCTGCTTTGGGTGGACCCCGAAGAAAGAGGCGTCGAACCTGGATAGGTCCTTCAGCTTGCCGGACCGCCTGGGCAGGCCGTAGAGTCCTGCAGACATAGACAGGTGGAAGGCTGTGGGCCCTGAGTGACCGACGGCAAAGGCCCTGCTGTGACAGGGAGCCATGAGCTCCCGGGGAGACTGGGCAGGGGCTGGTGGTGCTAGGTCTGGGGTGCCACTTGGGCGACATCACCCCGCTTTCTGAGAAGGGGCCCCACTGGGCAGCCGTGTGGGAGGTGGCCTCGGAGCAGAGCCCAGTGGGGACAGTGCCCTCCTCCTGTCCACCACTGCCCTAGCTGGAGACCCTCTGCCTGTCCTAAACTGCCTGGCTGCTGAGGCCGGCCAGACTCCGCCACGCTGACTCACATCCCGTAGATCAGGTAGAGCTGCTCTGCAGAACAACCTACTGGGCGGGAGGGAGTCAAACCAGCTTCCTGAGAGAGCCTGGCATCTTATGTGGCGGTAGCTGGCTGGGCTCGGAGGGACAGGGTGCCTGCCCACCTGGCCTCACCCTGGATCTGGTCCCCCAGCAGATCACCCAGCTCGGCTATAAAACGGGCAGATGCATGCTCAGGGTTGGCCCTCAGCCTCCGTGGGCCCCCAGTCCCCAGCCTCGCCTTGGTGACCAGTGGCTCTGCCATTGGGACTGGGGCTCAGGCTGGAGCTGGTCTGCCCTGGGCAGCCGGGAGGCCACATCCAGAGCAAGAGCAGGAGAGGATCCCCTTGTGTGGGAGGGGAGCGCGAGGGCCGCCCACTCACCTGCCTTCCACCTCCTGTCGTCGTCTGTCACCATGTCTATGCCGCCGATGAGATTGGCCCAGAACTCCTGCATATTGTCCGACTCGGGCAGCTTCCCGGACATGCCAGCAATCACCACCTCCTCCATGGCTGCTCTCTGCAGGGAGGGCAGCGTGGGAGCCTGACGCTGGTCAGCTCTGGCAGCCACACCACCAGGAGGCAGCTTCCCACCCTCTCCCCTGGCTTCCTGACCCCACAGCACCACCTATGGGTTTGAGAGCAGTTGGTCAGCTCCTGCGCGCTCTGCCGGCTGGGACAGAAGCCGAGGGCGTGTGGGGTGGGGGTCCATGCTGGTCCAGCCAGCCCTTGTCACATGTGGGGCCCCGGCCTGGGTGACTACACCATGGCCCTGCTACCCTGTGTCTGCCCCCCAACAGTCGGTGGGCTCTGCAACCTACTGCTGGGGTCCTGGGAGAGGTAGCAGGCAGGGCCATCCCAGAAGAGCGGAACCCTTCCTGGGACAGGGCCACTCGGCCATCAGTGTGTTAAGAGCTGACCCAGGAAATCAAGCAAGCAAAAAAGAGAGGGTGCCAAAGCTTGAGCGAAAAACATATGAGAGTGGGGGGAACACCGGCCCACACTGACCAGTGGGCCCTGCACCCTGCATCCCAGCTTGTTCTCCATGCTGGGGGCAGGGGCCCAGGCACACTCAGGGCAGCCCATGAACTGCCAGGGTTTGGAAGGGACGTTGGGGGAGGGGTCCCTGCAGGGCTCCGGGGACAAGACGGCCCCTACCCGCGGTGGGTCCACCCAGCCAGTCTGACCGCCCCAGCAGGGTCCAGCCCGGAGAAGCACTTGGTTAGGGGCCAGGCGAGGGCTGCCCACACCCGCACACCTGTGCCGGGGAGGCCTCGGGCTGTTTGACCACCCGGACCCAGGCCCCCGGGGCCCCCCTGCAGAGAAAGCCCCGGCCACAGAGGAAGGGCGCTCTTGGGCAGCCCCGCGGGGGCAAGGCCGGGGCTGGCCTGGCAACTTCCGCCGAGGCCGCAGGGTCTCGTGGCGCTAAGGACCGGTGGTCACGCCGCCCCCGGCCGTCCCGGGTCTCCCGGGCTCTCCGAGCGAGGGCGCGCGGCAGAGAGCAGCGACCCCCTCGCGTGGCCCGGCGAGCCTGAGTCCCCGCCGGGAGGAGCCCCACCCCCGGCGCCGAATAAAGGGCCCTTTGGAGGCCCAGGAGGCACCGGCTCGGGGGCGTTGCGGCCTCCAGAGAGCGCCCGCCGTTCCCCCCTACTTGCTATTCACGCCGAGTCCGGCGCGGCCCGGGCAGGGGCTGGAGACCCCGCGGCGCCGGCCTCGCCCCGCCGCCCGCCCTCCAGAGCTTCGGGGCTCCGCGCGGCGCCCACGTGACGGGAGCCGGCTCCCCCCCGCCGCCCGGCCGCGGCCCTCCGGCACCGGGGCCGGGGATGCGGCGGGCGGAGGGCTGGGCCGTGCGCCCGCGTGGCCCAGCCCGCGACCAAAATGGCTGTTCGCGGCGCGGCCGGCGTCCGCCCCTCGCTCTCGCCCACCTGCCCCCCGCCTGCCCCGCCGGCCCTCCGGCGCCCCGCACGGCCAGCCCGGGGGCCTCGGGGCCCGGCGCGCCGACCCCTCCCCGCGGGAGCGCCCCGAGACCGGAGGGTGCGGGCCGGCGGCGCCCGGGCCCCCAGGGCCCCGGTCCCCGCCGGGCCGCTCGTACCTGGTCTGGGCGCGGGCGGCGGGCGGGCGGCGGGGAGCGAGGATGGAGCGCGGTGGCGCAGGGGAGGCCGGGCCGCTGCCGTCTCTCTGGCTCCCTCTAGGCCGGCGCCGACTCTATTTAACCGCGGCCGTCCCAGCGCGGACACGCCACATGGGCTGACAGCTTGGCTGCGCCGCCCAGGCCAATGAGCGTCGGGGCTGCGCCCCGGGACCCGGCGCGCCGCCGCCGGTGGGGTGATGCCGCGCGCCGCCGAGCCGCCGGGACCCCGCGCGGGGGCGCGCAGGGTTGGGGAGCCCGGCGCTCCGGGGGCGCCGGGGGGGCGCCTCGGCACCCCCGCCCCCCGCCCCCCGCCCCCCGCCCCCGCGGGTCCGTGGCGCGGACCCGCGGGGGCGCACGCGCACGCGCAGGGGACTGAGCCCCCGGGGGCCCCCGGGGGCCCCCGCCCCTCCCGGGGCCGCCCCCCACACCCTCGGGCCGCGGGACCACGTGTGCGCGCCGCGCGGGTGAGGCTGGACGGGCGTGTGCTTGGGCGCCACTCTGGGGGCACGCCGGGGACCGGCCGGACCCCCGGGAACACCGACCGGCCGGCCGGCGGTCTGGCCGCGCGGAGCCGGGCCGGGGTGGGGGGGGGTAAGGGGCGGGGCTCGCTCCGCCGCCGCGGCCAATCGGGGGCCGGGGGCGTGCGCAGCGGCCCAATGGCGGCGCGCGAGTGGGCGTTGCTAGGCGATAGGGTGATGGGCTGGGCTGCTCGGCGGTCGTTGACCCCTGCCGAGGGCGCCCCGGGCGGGGTCACTGCCGGTCACCGCAGCGCGGCGCGGCCTCCCCAGTCTTACGGGCCCGCGCGCGTGCTCCACGGCTCCCGGAGCCCGCGGGTAGAGCGAGGCTCGGACAGCGCTTGGCGTGGTTCGAACAAAGGCGCCTCCCCGGGCAGAGGCACTCGCGCGCGCACGTGGCCACTTGCACCCACGGGCGCGCACACGCCCCGGCTGGAGCTCCAGCCCTGCGTCTCCGTGCGTTCCCCTGCTCACATGGTTACCGAACTCACAAAAAGACCTCGGCTTCCAGACCAAAACGAGACAGACCCCCGTCTAGGGGTCAGCTGAGAGTCAGGAAGGCCGCCCTCCCTCCCTAGCGGCCATGCCCTGCAGGACCCAGGCCCCCTTATGGGCCCCCAAGTAGGTCCTCTGTGAGGCCAGCAGAGTCCCTGTTGGTCCCCAGGACGGCCAGCGCCCTGCTTCTTCACCGCCTCATTGTCTTGAAATCAAACGCTGCACTCCTCACTGCGCTCCATGGCAACCCCTCGGGCTTTGCCTTGACGAGCTCAGGGACAGCACAGAACGGGACTGGCACGGTGAAACCAGACGCCACAGCTTCACTTGGCCACATGCTCCTGCATGCCCCACAGTGCTCACCAGCCCCGTCAGGTCCCAGTGGCCACTCCATGCTCCGATGCTCCCATGTTTCCCTTGGCATCCTGTCACTGGGGGCTTCTAACTCCTGACAGCGGAAGAAAGGGCAGGCCAGGAAGAGGTGGGAGAGTGCCCTAAGGCCCACCAGCTGAATTAATGTCCTGAACAACCTTCCCATGGGTTTTTCTTTCTCTTCCAATTTAAGAATTTTTCAGATACCTTGCACCCTGGGCCAGGAGTCACTGGACCATGCTGAGTAACGCTCCCAACTTTTGGTGACTTAAGTTATCCCAGGCTCATTTCTTGCTGGTCAGTGGGACTCTGCTCACTGCAGCCTGCCAGGGGCCCAGGTGATGGGGGCTGATCCCAGGCTGGGCCAACCTTGATGGAGGGCCTGGGTTTGCACCCTAGAGGGAGGGCTCGGAGACTCGCTCACGGGCTCTGAAGTGCCTCTTTGGAAAGTGACAAGGCATCTCCGCTCAGGTTTTCAGCTTCAGGGAGTCACACAGCCATGCGTCCCTTCTAAGGGCACACGTCAGACACAGCCAAGCACCGAGACCCCTGCCACCCCTCGGCAAAGCTGCTTCCAGGCTGCTGCTTCCTGGCACGGCGGGAACGGCCCAGCATTGCCTCTGCAGCTCCTGGAAGCACAGCGTGCCCAGGCTGCGTACTTAGCCTGTGGCAAGGATGTCCCTCAGGCCCGTGTGCCGTCACATGGAGCTCAAGGGTGCACGGGATGGGGCAGGAGCCATTGCAAATCACTGGGGCCTGGTCTGTGATCTCTTGGCCCTGCATCAGGCACATGCATGACCAGCACTACTGTTTGTGGTCTCTCCCCGTGATGTTGCATCCTCACGTGCCCCCCACCTGTGAGCCAGGTAGGGAGAGGACACTGTGCACATTTTACTTGAGGGCCAACGGAAGCCATGAAGGCCACATGACGTGTGTAGGTCAGCCTTCCCCCAGCATTCTCCCGTCCTCCCGGAGAAGCGGTCTGCCCGGTTCCATGAGAGCTGGCTGTCCAGAAAGGGAAAGCCTCAGTGCGGAGGGCCCAGGCTGCCTGAGGGCACAACCATGCTCTGCCTAGAGCGGGGACAGGCTGTCTCCATTGCTGAGCTGCTGTGGGCAAGGAGTGTTCTGGTGCTGCCAGCTCGGTGTGGGCACAGGGGAGCAACGGGCTGAGGGCTCTGGGAGAGTGATGCAGCGCACGCCCTGGCCTCTCCCACGCTGACCCTCCTGAGGCAGGAGATTGTGATCTTGAGCAGGAAGTTCACTGTAGAGCAAATCCACAAGTGTCAAGGCTGTGTGGTTAGAATTTATGAGACGTTTTTCGGGTGGGGAAGTGTGGGTGTGGTTTTGTGGTACTTGGAGCAAGGGTATCAGGTGCCGGGCCCCAGGCATCTAGCTGTCGGAGATGCCCCGCTACTGTCCTACGCGGTGGCGGGGGGGTGCGGACGTGGAAGGCTCCAGACTGACCCGCTGGGTTGGTCTCACGGGGCCAACGAGCACTGCAAGTGCCACCCCCACCCCATCATGACATGACATGAGCAGGGGAGCAGGCCTCTGGTCTGGCCGCTGGCTCACCCAGAACCCCGGTTCTCCCTTCTTCCAGGAGGTCCCCTCCCACGTGCAGCACTCCGGGGAAACGCCTACTTTGTGGGTGGGCATTCTGCTCCCCGTGCCCCCACACCCTCATCAGGCCGCGCTGTCTGTGACCCCCGCCCCCGGGGGCCCTCCTGGCTTCCTTCCCATGTCACTGGGGCACTGTAGGACAGGTCAGTAACTCCAGGGCCCAGCGAGAGCACCGGAGGCAGGGGCTTTAATGGCTCTGGGTCGGTCAGAGCCCGGGGAAGCCGCTCTGCAGCTGTCTGCGCGCACATGCACTCGCACTCTCCTCGTGCACATGTGGGTACTTGCACACACACCCCCTGATGCATGGTGAAAGCGCAGGCCCCAAGCACCAACACGGGAGGGGAGGGGAAGGGGGAGGGCGTGGGAGAAGGAAGGCTCAAGAAGTCAGTCCTTCAAATTGTAGTTACGGATCTTGGGGGGTCTCTGGCAGCCTTTAGTTTTTGCAGGGTGAGCCCTGGAGGGTCTGGTGGGCTTGGCCTTTGCCTGCGCTTCCATCTTCATCCCTTCGATGGCAAAGGCTGCCCGTGTCCCCACGGGGCTCCTATCCGGGTGTCCGAGGCTGTCGGCTGCTGGACGTGCCGTGAACTCTACTGAAGAACAGCAAGAGAAGGGCCTGTCACAGCACGAAGGGCAGGAAGGGGTGGGAAGCCTAGGCTCCCCGAGTATAAGCCAAGCGGCTGTGCCTCCAGCCTGCAGGACCCAGAAACCCCACGCCCTGGCTCTCGTTCCAGAGCCTAGCAGGCCAGAGGTCCTCCCCAGGGAAGGTGCTCAAGGGCAGCAGCTGTGGCTTGGGGTCCTGGCACAGGAGGCCCCTGGGACACATGCTTTCCAGATGCACCGCAGGGCCTGGGCCTGCCCCTCCACTGGCACTCTGGACATTTGCCCCTGAAAATGTCATCTCCTGCCGGGACCATTTCGTAATGGGCCCCCTGGGGGCGCCCAGGTTAATGGTTGACCCACAGCACGTCTCGGGCCCTTCCCCAGCTGTCAAGCACCCTCTGTCTGCTGGCCGTGCTCACCAGCACCCCCAGCCGCCCAGCAGCCCTGACATGTGTGTCCAAGCACAGGCCAAGGACCCAGGGCCTGGGCCGCATGCCGTACACGTGGGCTGACACTCAAGGGCAGCCCTTCCAAAGCGGCCACCACGGTGTTTCTGAACGAGGGCGTGGGAGGAGACTTTCAGTTTCCAAGCTCTTCTCTAGTTGCCGAGTTTTTAGAACTAGGAGTGTGTTTCTTTTGTAAAAAACAAAACAAAAAAGATGTTACTAGGAAGCAGCTGTAAGATGCAAGGTCAGAGTGGCTCTCCCTTGTGCGCTGGCCCAGCAGGTAGGGCCGGGGTCTATGGAGCCCCAGGAGGGTCCACACTGGATGGGGATGCTGCCCCAGAGAGCTCAGACAGGGGAAGGGGGGTCTGGCACCAGCATCTCACACACGAGACACACGGGTGACACGCACGCCACGTGCCCAGCGTCTCGGAGCCGACCACCTGGGGCCCGGCCGGTACAGGGTGGCGTGCAGCACAGGGGGGGGATGCCGCGTGGCGGGGACGCCCCGGGCCAGGCCTGAGGACAGGCCGAAGGGACAGCAGAAGGCCCGTGCTTCGGAAAGCGCACACAGGTGGTGCACACCGTGGGCCTGCAGTGTCCCCGGCACTGGGAGCTGGAGGTCGGCCACGTGTACCCGGGTCCCTGGCTCTCACTTGGGCCTCTTCTGTCCTCTTGAGTACCTGGAACTGCTCCATTCCCTGCAGCCTCCTTGGGGTCACACAGCCTTAGGCCCCCCTCCTGTGCCCTTGGACCCAGTCCCGGCGCCCGGCCCTGCTCTCCTCCTATTGCCTAGGCTCCAAGCACCAGGATCCTGGAGTGGAGTGAGGTTGGTCCCTGGATGTCCCTGTTCCTCTCCGCTTCCCGAGGCCATGGCTGCATCTCCCTCATGAAGGAAAGGCCCATGCCTTTGGTTCTCTAGCCGCAGAGCAATTCCTCCTCCACACATGCTCTCCTGCCCTGTGTCTCTGGAAGCAGACCCTCAGGTCCTGACTTCCCGTCAGCCCCATCCTGATAGCTGATGATATCTAGGCCCATCCTCTGCTTGCGTGGTTTCCTTCTGGAAGGCAGCGGCCAGTGGGGAGGGGCAGGGTTGGGACCCTGACCCCACAACGTGAGGGACTGGCCCTCTTAGGGATTCCGTGGGCCTCGCCTGAGTCCACTCTCCCAATCCGCTGCCGCCGGGGTGGGGGTGGGGGAGAAAGTGAGGCTCGGGGAGGAGGAAGAGCCTAGGCCCTGAGGGGGGCCATGCTCCCCATGAGGCTTGCAGTGGGAGCAGGGCCCCTGAAGGAAGCCGGCTGTGGGGTCTCGGGGGTTTCGGGCTCCGGCAGAGCCGTCCCTGAGGAGGTAGCCAACCGCCCCAGGGCAGGGGCAGTCCTGGCTCAGGCATGAAGCTGGATGGGTCAGGCCTGCTTGCCGCCCCCCCGCCCCCTGCACACACCCTGTGACCCTGATGTGTGTCTTCCCTGGCTCACCTGAGATGTGCCCTCCTCGCTCAGACCAGCGGCTAGTTTGTAGCAGTGACAGCCCCCCCCCCCCCCCCCCCCCGCTCTGCCCTTCCTGCCTGACCCGCTCTGCAGAGCCCAGCCTGGGGCTGCTCTTTGGGCACTGCGTTCTGACTAGGTTTCAGGAAAATTGTTTGTGCACAGGACTTGCCTCCTGCATGTGGCTGGTCCAGCTCCGTCGTGCCCAAGGCCTCGCAGCTATGAACCCGAAAGCAGGAACCTGCTGTCTGTCTCAGGGTCTCCCAGGGCTCTGGGAGTGGTCCCAGCTTCCTGGCTGCTTGGAGCTACTGCTCGGCCCCTTCTGACCTGGGCAGGCTGCCTGCTCTGGGGAGCAGGTCAGGCTGCCCAGGGGCCCTAAGCACATGTTGCCTGGGCCTCTGAAAGCTGTTGGGGACACGGAGCGCATGCCGGCCCCGACTCTCCAGAGCCTTCCCTGGGGCTGCAGGGGCAGCTCAGCTCTCAGGTCCCTGCTGTGGTCTTGGGCACGAGGGACAAGGCCTCCCCAGGCTCACCGAGGCCTCGGCTAGTGCAGTCAGCCCTTCTGTCTCCCCTCCTTCCATCCTGTGTGCTGATGGGCACGGCTTCCACTGAAGCCTCTCTCCTGCTTCCGCGGGAGCCCCTCATGCCCCTGGGTCTGGCCCTCCTCAAATGAGATGAATTATACCCTCACCTTGCCTTCCCCCTCATCCCAACCCCCACTTTCTTTCCCCTTAAGTAGGCTCCATGCCCAGCGTGGAGCCCAACATGGGGCTTGAACTCACGACCCCGAGATCAAGACCTGAGCTGAGATCAAGAGTTGGATGCTTAACCGACGGAGCCATCCAGGCATCCCCCAAACCCCTTTTTGATTAATGGTTATTAATTAGATTATGTCAAACTCCCCAGAACCTTCCAAGGCTTCCCACCATGGTGGGATGGAGCCCAAGCCTTTAGCATCCAGTGGATATGGAGTGGCCTCACCCCCTAAAAGCCCATGTGCCCCAAGTCTCCAGAAGCTGCCAGGTACTTCCCAGAGCCCCAAGCCTCGAGCCTGCCCGGAGTGACCCTGCAGGGAGCTGCTGTCTGCCCTTGGTTGCAGAGGCTCTGGGTGGACATTCCTGGGCATGACTGTACCCAGCAGGGTGGAGGGGAGTGAACAGGAAACCCCAGATCCTTCAGGGCCCCTCAGGCTGCTCCTGGCCTTGGGCTGGGGGCAATGACTACAGACCAAACCCCCTTGTTAAGCATACCAGCATCACTGCTCTGCGCCCTCCTCCCTGAGGTTAATACCCAACACCAACCCCTTATCACTCCTTCCTAATATCATTTTCAGGGGTACCCCTCCCTGGTTCTGAGCTCACCCAGGCCTGTCTGCTGGTGCCTCTCAGTGTGGTTCTGTCCCGGGTCTCAAGAAGTGGGCAGCAGGGAGCACCCTGGGGCCCTAAGGAAGGGAATTTAGGGGAAATACTCTGTGAGTACTGGCCTTGAAGAGGGGCCAGCTCTACCGTCGTCTGGGGCTGCCTTGTCCAAGATGGGCAGGCAGAACCTGGAGAGCGGGCCCTGCCCTCCGCCTGGACTCTGTTCCTTCTCTGGGCCCTGAGGCTCGGCTCTACAGGAAAGAGGAGTTGACAGAGGAAGAGGTGGGGCGGGCGGGCCGCAGGGGTGTGGGTGCAGGGGTGGGGGGGCAGGGCCAGGACCGTAAGAAGTGCAGGTCAGGGAAGGGGCAGAGAGTGATGGCCAGGCCACTCAGCCTGGCTTGGTTGCCCCTTTGGAAGGCAGAGGTGATGGCGGGAAGAAGTCCCCGGGCCCCAGAAGGGAAAGAAGGTGCAGTGGGCAAGATGGGGGTCAGTGTGAATGGGCTTCGGGACCCTGGGCTGCATTCAGATGCCCATCCCGTGAGGCGCCGGGTGGAGATGGCAGGAGGTCACAGGGGAGCAGATGGGGCGAGGTGGGTTCTGATCTGCCTCCTTTTCACAGATCTAAGCCTAAAAGCTAGATAGACAGAGTAAGATTCACAAAAGACGCATGTCAACAAGGGACCATGGCAGGTGCCCTCGGGTCAGCCAGGCAGGCTCACTGCTCCAGGTGGCCGGCAACCCTCCTGCTGGGGCTGCCCATCCTCATGCCCTTGGCCACATGCTGCCACGAGCTGCTCTCTGCCTCTCTTGGCGGACGGGCAGCCGTGAGGGACTGAGGCAACACTCTCCTTTTTCACGAGGACGTGGCCCCTTGGGAGGGCTGCCCATCGGCCATGTGCATACAAGCTGCCCATCTTGCTCAAGGGACTGAGCCACTCCGGCCAGAGGCCTCCCCACATCAGACCCTGAAATGCTCTCTGGAGGTCTGCTGAGGGCCTTTGGGACCCCACGGGCGGCTTTCGGGGGCCCCAGAAGGAGAGGCAAAGGGACAGAACGCCTACATCCCAACGGCGGAGCTGCCAACAGCGTGGGGGGTCCCCGCGCAGGCAGAGCCAGCCCCCGGCTCTGTGACAAGGCTTGCAACTTGTGCACTGCTCTCTGTCTGGGCTCGGCGCACGGGGGGAGCGGGAGGCCTGAGGTGGCTCTCCGGGGGCCTTTCCCTTCAGAAGGGCTGACCACGCGAGGACACGTGTCCTGTGTGCCGAGTCCTGACGCGGCGCCAGGCACGGCTCTAAGCAAAGCTGTCTGCGCGCAGACCCGCCTCATCCTCCCGGGCCGTGGGGACCCCCGACACCCTCCAAGGTTAACTTTGCTCCGAAGGTGAGGAGCGCTACGAGCCCTGGAGGCTGCCCGGAGGAAGCCAACCCCAATAAGCCAGGCGGAGACTGCTGTATCAGGAGCTGGGCCACGGCGCCCCGGACCCCTCCTGGACGCACGGCCCAGAGCAGGCTCGGCGCCGTCTGCGGCGGAGCTGTGGCTGCTGGGGCAGGGGGCTTCGCAGAGTCCAGAACAAACCTGATGAACCTCTGCTGCCCGTTCCAGCTCCTCCCTGGCCTGACGGAAACGTAAGCCTGCAAAGAAGTCTGCTGCCTAGAAGCTCCCCTGCCCACGTGAAGCCTGGGGCTCTGAGCTGCCCCTCCGCTCC